AATAATAATAATAATAATAATAATAATAATAATAATAATAATAATAAAATAACCAGTGCAGGTGGTTCCAGTGGTACTGGGCACACTGGGTTCTGAGCCTGGTCAGCTGCAGAAGGCCACCTTACTGGGATCTGCTTGCATAATCCACCAATACATCACACAGTCCTAAATGCTTTGGAAGTGTTCGACCAGTGATTTGTGATACAAAACCTAGCATAGTTATCTCGTTTGTTGTATGCATTGTTGTTTTTTGTGTATAACAAAATAATAATAATAATAATAATAATAGTAGTAGTAGTAGTAGTAGTAATAGGGTGCAGTCCAGAAACACGTGGAGCACCACTGGAACACCATCGGTGGCATTGACAAATTTGCCACGAGTCAATTGCAGAAGGCAGCTTGACGTGGAACAGCTTCCCTCCTGCGGCGATATCTGTAACACCGTCAAACAATCCAGATTTGCCTATCCCAGGTCCGTGGTAAGGACTCGAGAGGTAGACCAAAATGCCAAACCCCAGCCTGAACATCTGGCTGGCTGTGCGATGATTAATAATAATAACAATAACAACAATAATAATTGTTTGGAAAAGCGGGAACCAAAGCCAGCACCGGCTGAAGAACTGACAGCTGTGATTACACGCTGCTATTGATATGTAACAACAATAATAATGACACCTCATCAGAAAAAGAGGAAAAGCAGTCACCTTACCAAAGCATGATATAAAGGCATTCTGCTAGCATTGCTCTTGAAAATAAATAACTAGGGGAAAAAACAACCCAACAAACAGCAAAGTTTAAAACAAGAGCGGAAATAGCATTGCGAAGGAGCTTAGCGGCTTCTGATATATATATATATATTTTTAAAATCTTTCTTTGATGGAGACCCACATACTCACCCTTCCTACTTAAAGGGAGTCCTCGGCATGGCCAACAGAATTAAAGAGAACCTCCCCCCTACACCCCAAGTTTAAAAAGCGACCCTTAAAATTCCCGTATTTGTCGATCTCTCTGGAAGTCATTGTTAAACCCGCCTGTAATGCAGGGACCTGGAGGCCGCTCATTAAAATGTGCGGTGCACAAAATGCCCCACTATCTGCAGACAATGCGGCCTTTGTGTGTGCTGAGCGGCTTCCAAAGGGCCCAACAGTGGAGGATTTTTTATCTTTTGGCCTTGCCAGAGCTTCCCTCTCCCTTTCCCACCCCGCCCCCCAATTCAGGCTTGTGAAGCAACAAGCTGGCTGGGTTGTGGATTTTGAATGCTGCCTTTTTGCACTTCCCCCTCCCCCATGAGAAACTTGGATGGGCTGGATGCATACAAAATTTAGGCATTTAAAAAAAAAAAAAAGAAGCGAAAGGGGTGGAGGGCAAAATAAATAAATAAAAAAGTTCTGTTTTTCTCTCCAAGGCGTGTCTCTACCCTTAAGACCCCTACTTTGGCTCAAGGTGGCAGCTTCAGATTCTCTTGATTTGCAATTGTCTGTGATAGGCGTGCTGTTTTCATCAGTATTCACAGCGGCACCTCTGCTGCAGCGAGCTTTGAAAGGCCGTTAAAGCTACCAGGCGGGCGAATGTGTGCAGAGCAGCATATTGTCTCCCATTCTGCGTCACCCCTTTTTTTAAAAAAAACGGCTTTGAGTGACAAGAGAACCAGCCCTGTTGACTGTCCTGCTCAAAAGAGAAATTTGCCATTGCCAAAGAAGCAAATTCTTTGTTACATGGCTGATTGAAGATACAGTCGTGGGGAAAAGCTTCAGCGCTTTGAAGTATCACGAGGCGACTGTGGTTCTAGAAACCACTCTCTCTCTCTCAAAAAAAAGACACTTTTCCTGTGTCTTATACATTATTGTGGCTCTTTACCTAACATAGGCAAGGCAGAGATTCTCCGTTTGGTTAAAGCGAGGAAGAGAAAACAGAATAGAATAGAATTCCTTATTGGCCAAGCGTGATTGGATACATAAGGAATTTGTCTTTGGTGCATAAGCTCTCAGTGTACATTAAGAAAAAATAAAGAGTCATAAGATACAACTCTTAGTGATAGTCATAGGTTCCTAATAAGCAATCCAATCATACTAGGAAACAAATAAAACAATATAAATTGTAAAGATACAAGCAACACAGTTATAGTCATAAGAGGGAAGAGATCGCTACCAGGAAGGATGAGAAGAGTAATAGTAACACAGTCTTGGTAAATAATTTGACAAGTGTTGTGGGAATTAGTTGTTTTTAGCAGAGGGATGGCATTCGCGGAAAAACAGAATGGCTGGTTGGAGCGAAAAAAGAAAGACCTCATACATGGAGGCTAGAGATAGTCAGAACTTCTTTCAGCAGTAAATCTGAAAGCCCTGAATTGTCCTACCAGACCTCCACACCATCCTCCCGTAACTAAAAGATGTTGGCCAACATTCTCTCTCCCCTGACTTCCCAAGAGCACTTGTGATGGATATGTACAGAATATGTGCAGACTCAAAAGAGTAACCAACAAACTGCATCCCACCCCCAAAAAGACAATAACATTGCAGATTCTAGATGGTAAGATTAATTGGAGAGATAACAAGTTATCAAGACTTTTCAACAAAGATGTCCAAAACGTTGGGCCAAATCTTGTCTAATTTTGGCACCAGGTAGGATTCAGGTGCAGTTTTTTTTTTAAGAGTTGGTAGCCTGGTCAAAAGAACATTTAAAAATGGTTGGTTTCATAAATGTGCATCTATTTTATGAGAGCAGGATACGGAATTTGTAGGGCTTTAGATGAAAGAAAGTGGGAGAAAATATGGGTTGAAAATGGCAGAATCCGGTGTAAAATCAAAAGCTTTACAGAAACGTGTAGGATTTCCAGGTTCCAGGAGATGACTGTTCACTGACCACTCTGATTATTTGCTTTAATCTTTACATTTGGCTAGATATAAATCTGTTGTGCTGAGGAGCATAGAATGAAACCGGTATTCGGTCTCATTCCTCCATTCTCTTTTTTCAAGGAATCTGAGAAAATCATTGCAGAGCTGAATGAAACCTGGGAGGAGAAATTGAGGAAGACCGAAGCAATCAGGATGGAGAGGTTAGTACTCCCAAATCATCTTGATTATTACCTTAGAGCAGTGTTTCTCGCATGGCTTGCTAGGGAATTCTGGGAGTTGAAGTCTACACATCTTCAGGCTGCCAAGTTGAGAAAAACTGCCTTAGAGGATCAAGACTCTCATAACTTCAAGATGGAGTAGGATTCCACTGGGTGGTTTTGAAGTCCTGAGTTCCAAAGGCAAAAAAAAGGGAGAGGTTGGAGATGCGAGGACAAAAATGTAGAATAAAAGGGTTATAATCCAGATAGAACTCTTAATTCTGAAGAAATGGAGTGGCCAGCGTGAGAGTCGAGAAGGGAAGGGTTACTTCTATGGATAGACCATTCAAAACAGTTAGAAGAACATTGAGAGAGAAAGGAAGAAATCATATTCAAATTAAATCAAATTAAATTCATGCAGATATATAAATATGAAATGAAGGTTCCCAGATACTTCTGCAAAAGAAGTTGACTTGGGTTTATTTGGATCCTCTTAATAGCCATAGCACTTATGACTTATATACCACATTACAGTGCTTTACAGCCCCCTCTAAGTAGTTTACAGAGCCAGCCTCTTGCCCCCAATAATCTGGGTCCCCATTTTACCAAATGGGGGAATGGAAGGGTGGAATATCTCAGATGGATGGAAGGTTGAGCCAACCTTGAGCCAGTCAGGTTCAAACTCCTGGCTGTGGGCAGAATTAGCTTGCAATCTAACCCCGTGCTACTATCATTCTAATAAAAAAAACATGTTTTGTAAAAACTGGGAAAGTTTACAAACGTGTTAGTTCTAATTTATATCTCATTATATGATCTCTTCTTACTGTTTTTTTTTCCTTTCTGTCCTGTGCATTTTCCCCAAATACACTAAATCAAAGAAAAACTAAATTCCTCTCTCCCACTTCCCCTGAAATTTAGAAATCGAATTTGAAGTGTGTTTTTCGAGGACTTCTTAACCACTTCTTGTCCATCTTCCACAGAGAAGCTCTCTTGGCTGAGATGGGGGTCGCCATCCGAGAAGATGGAGGCACCCTTGGCGTCTTCTCCCCGAAAAAGGTAAGTAGGGCTATAAAATGGTTTCAGGTCCGTTTTTTTCAGGCAATCTGAGATCCTAACCACTGTTGTGGGGGGATCCAACATTCTGCTGGGGCTTTTCTACAGAAATGGCAGTACTGTGATCGACCCGCTGCTTGTATGATTCTGTGCTTTTTTTTGAAATACGGTTTTGAGATGCTTTCAGTTAAAAGACAGTATCAATTAAAACAATAGTTTTAGAAGCGTTTGCGCTTTTCCATAGGTTGGATATCAGACATTTATTTATTTGTCAAATTTATTAGCCGCCTATCTCGTTGTGGGGCAATTCAAGGCGGCTTACAGTAATGAACAGGAAGAAAAATGAAAGGCGTGTAAACAGAACAGAGGTTAAATAATAGAACAATAAAATAAGCAATGGCAAAGGAACACAGTAAAAATAAATACCTCGGTATGATAACCAAGAAAGATGCATGGGTGGTGAGCATGCGGGTTCTGAATTCAAATTGTGCTGAAGAGAGCTCTTCAGAAAATGCTCCCATGAACCATTTCAAAGTGATTTTTCAACACCACGGTCGTAATTTTTGTAGCTTTTGTGCCTCCCATTTGGGCCACACTCCAGCAGATACTGAGGTCTAAGATGAGATTCTGGACCCTTGCCGAAGCTTTCTGGCTGGGGAATTCTGGGAGTTGAAGTCCACGCAGCTTAAGGTCGCCACGGTTGAGAAAGATCGCACCATAGTATGATTGTCTCATGGTCACCCTAAGCGAAACCCTCTTTCCCCCCTCTTTTTCTCATCATCTGAATTTCCTTCCGTAGATCTTCTCTCAGAGACCATTAACTTTGTTTGATGACTCTTTTGATACCTTTGCGGTTGACCAGGTTTGTCTTTGTGCCGACATCGAGGCTTAAGCAGAGATTGCAGCTTGTGAAAGTAGCATTAGAAGGATATCACCCTTCTTCTCCTTCTCCTTTACATCCATCCTGGTTAGCTGCTACTTCCCTGTCTTTCATTGGCAATCTCTCACGGGCGCAACAAGATCCAGAGACGCTCTGAACAAATGGGGCTCTCTGGTAGCGTCTGTCCCTTTGCGGTTGTGATGATATGCAGACAATAACACACACAAAGACACCTGCCTGTTGTGTCCCGATCAGTATACATTTCAGGGCCTCATGGCAGTGTGAAAGAATGCAATGAACGTTCCTAGTTTCTGGGCAAGATCTGTTTAAATCTTGTCTTTTAGATTTTAAATGTTATGTCATATAGTATGTCTTATTTAGAGTATTTGCACCAAGACAAATTCCTTTTCTGTCCAATCACACTTGGCCAATAAAGAATTCTATTCTATTCTATTCTATTCTATTCTATTCTATTCTATTCTATTCTATTCTATTCT